ACAATGAGGGAAGAAGCCAAAAATATATTATGAAAGGATTGGGCTAAGTAAGCAAAACGTAATAAATTGTAAAAGTATTAGTAAAAGTTTATAACTGCGAGTTATAAATCTCTTGTTTTATTTATTATTTCCTCAAAGGCGATTAAAACAATTTCAATGTTATTTGACCAACTTTTCGGTACTTTTTGCAACATACTTGTTACTTTTAGGTAAAAATGGTCACTTGGTTGTTACGCAATAGTTAGTTAAAAGTGGATTGCAGAACAACATTACAGTACGTTACAAAGGGGTAGCGAGGGTCAAAATCTTTAAAAATTGCATTTAGTAATACTTGAACGCCCACTTTCCGTGTTCAATTGTATCTGTTAAACCTATTACTATGTTGAGTATTTTTCACGTGTGTTATAGTAGAATAATTATAATTATTTCTCAACGAGTAATTTGCAATTAAACATAACTTTTATATTCGCTAATATTTATTTTTACAATAGCTGTGTAAAAATGCTCGTTAATCATTTATAACTAATTTTATTTAACATTATCCCAAACAAAATAACATGCTTTGTTAGTTTGGGACCTCTAAATAATCATAGCAGTACACCTATAAAATGTATACATACATATACAAGCAAACATTTTATATTTAATCTTTATCAGCTCATTTATTTGTATATTTTATGACATGATTATAAATAGTAGATACATTATGATTGTATAGAGTAGTCGTCATGTATATTTAATTCCATTCATATATAATTTTTTTGCGTATTCATTTTAATTATACAAAACTAGAATGATGTTGTAATTTGTTTTATGCAGATAGGAATAATTGAATCGATTAACACGTAAATACAAACAGGCTGAGCATGGAAATTCAATTTTAAATTACCAACTAAACTAGTGACGAAATTTCGCCGAACGTCGGTCGGTTAAATTTAATTATAAATAAAAAAACAAAAAACGCTGTATTTACAAACCAAAAACAAAAAAAGCTTAATTTTACTTTATTTATTTTAATTGCTAAATGTGTATACAGGGTGGTCCTTAAGTAATTGTACAAAAAGTATCCGTAGATTCTACACCTTAAAATATTACGATTTAAGCCAATTTTTTTTATTTAAACAGATATACCCGCATCAACCACTAAGGGTTTTAGCGGACAGACGTACATAAACAGTAAGATACATATTGTTACATAAAAAAAATATTTTTCACAATCTGGTATACCTATAGTTTAGTCATTTTAAAATAACTTAATAAAGACTGTAAATTTGACGTTAGTACACTTTTTAAATTTTCACTAAGGGCACACACGATTCTTTCGTTCTGGTACACTTGACACTCAACAATTATATGCTTAACTGACAACTGAGTGTCGCACTTGATACACATCGGAGCAGCCTCCTGGTTGAAAATATGTTTGCGAGTAAGGAGAGTATGTCCTATTCGGAGTCGGTTAATGATAACTTGGTCTTTTCTATTATTTGTTAAGATGAGATTGGTTCCTACTTGACTTAGACGTTTTTTGAGTTTGTTGGCAGGTATGATCCCAAGTAGTTTGCCACGCTCTGTACATGTTCTCATTACCACTTATTCCCATATGGGAAGGTACCCAGATAAAGGAAATATCTTTTTGTTGAGTCTGTAGATAAAATAACTCTTTTGATCTTGAGAAGTATGGCGTGAGTTGTATATAGCTGTTTTATTCCAAGTAATGCCCTCATTGAATCGGTGATGACAACAACTTTGCTTTCATTGATAGAACCACATTTTTTCATAGCCTGTTAAATTACAGTAAGTTCTCCGGTATATATACAGCAATTTGTTGGGATTCATATGGTAGACTTGACGTTTTCGTATATGTGGGCTGCAGCATGTCCATCATCACATTTGGAAGCATCAGTAAAGATTTGATGGGTTGTTGGGTATTTGGATATTATATTTTTATAAGCTTGCTGTATAAGGAAAGGATGTGTGGAATGTTTCGGCAGTTCTTTTAGAGACGTGTCTATTTTTGGAAGTTTGATCATTCAAGGAAGAACATTTACATAAATAGGCATAATAAGACTGAACTGTTAAGTTCCGTCTTACTATGCCGTTAAGTGAATTAAGACCAATACGTTTTAGTCGTTCAGGAAATGGTAGTTTTTTTATTGCAATGTTTCTGTAAAGATCGGACGATATATTTGTTCTGCAAAATATTGTTGAGTAGGTTACATTGCTGTTGTTTGCTGAAATTCTGGCAAGGTAATTTAGTGATAGGAGTTTCCTTCGTTGGCTCATGGGTAGTCCATTAGCCAGAGCTTGTAAGCTACTTACTATACTAGTTCTTGTTGCACTTAAAACTACTCTCAAGCACATATTTTGAATGTAGTCAAGTTTTTTTAAAGATGTTTTGTTAGCAGTATCGTAGCATAAACAGCCTTATTCTAATTTACTTCGTATTACTGATCTATCTAGAGTATGCAAGGTTGTTGTATCTGCCCCCAAGAGGTATTTGACATCATTTTTAGTAGATTATTTCTGGATTGGCAAGAACGTTGCAGATTGGTGATGTGGGTTTCCCAGTTTAAGTTTCGTTAATAAGAAAGTCTTAAGAAATTTATTTCTTTCGCTTGTTTCAGGACAACTCCATTTAATGTTAATTGAACATTAGGATAATTTTTTCTTTTGCTAAAAATTAAATAACGTCTCTTTTCACTAGAGAATATAAAACCCGTGTTTTGCGACCAGCTTTTAATTATGTGTAAGGTAGTTTGCGGTATATGTGCTCCCAGAGTTACATTGTTTCTTCTTAGCAACACTATTTCTTGCAACTAGAAAGAGAGTAGGACTTAGAGTAGATTCTCGTGGAGTGCCGTTTTGAAGTACTCGTCTGGAAGATGTAAATCCATTGGTTCTAACTAGAAAAGTTCGTGTTACTAGAAAATTTTTAATAAATGACAACATGTGACCTTGAACATCCCATTCTTGAAGTGTTTTCAGTATAAGATTTCTCCATGTTCTGTCAAACGCTTTTCTTATGTCAAAAAATACTGCAATAAGTTTTTGGTTGTGCAGAAAGGATTCATGTATACTCGATTCAAGTATTATTAGATTGTCTGTTGTGGATCTACCCGTACGAAATCCACTTTGTCTGATACTTATTAGGTTATTATTTTTCGAGGTACCATTTAAGATGATAATTAAGGATTTTTTATAAAAGTTTGCAGGTACAATACGTAAGTGATATTGGACGATAGGAATTTGGATCATCTTTTGGTTTATTATATTTAAGAATTGGAATTATAGTTGCTTGCGACCATAGATCAGGAAAGTCATGGTGAATAAAAATATTATTAAAAATATCAACTAATATTAGCTTTGTATTCAGAGAAATATTTCGTAAGAAAAGAGGGAGGATATCATCGGGACCTGGACTAGAATTTTTAGCACTTAAACAAAATTTTAATTCTTGAAGAGTTACTGGTTTGTTTATTGAATTGCCGCTTTCTGTGATTTGTATATTTCAAGACTCCGTTAGTTTTTTATGCTCTAGAAAGGATAGGCTGTAATTGGAATCCCCAGAATTATTCTTGTATATATCTACAAGTATTTCTGGAATATCTTCTTTGTTTGAAGGCGTTTGGTTATTGTAGATAGAGTATCTATAGCTCCAAAGTATTTTGTCCCTTTTATTCTGCGGACTTTGTTTCATATGTTGCCTAAGGGCATGGAAGGATTTATTGAAGAAACTTATGTTTTCCGATATTCTCGTTTTACTTTGTTAATTAATTGTCTGCTTTGAGCTCTGAGATTTTTAAACCTTAAAAGGTTTTCAATAGTTTTATATTTCTTGTGAACTTTAAAAGCGTGTTTAGACAAAATGAGTGCTTGTGCAATTTCGTAATTCCACCAAGGAACTGGCTGCCTTTAACTTGATTTTGTTTTTTCCACTGCGATTATTGCTGCAGAAATAATAATGTTATTAAATATTTCAAGATTTTGGTTTGTGTTTTTGGTTAAATTAGATTAGTTTGTTTGTTCTTCTATCAGCTGATTTTATTTTCCATGTCTGGTGAATTGGAAAAGTTGATTTATTACTAGTGTTTATGGTTATCGTGGTAGGGAAATGATCATTATCATATAAATACCCCAATGTGTCAAAGTACAATAAAGGAGCTAGCAACGGACTGCATAAAGATCTATGGCAGAAAATGTATCATTGTATGAATTGAACCTAGTGCATTTGCCAGTGTTTAGTAAAATTAAATTTAAATTATCAATGAAATTATTTATAAGATCGCCACATTTGTCGGTTTTGCTACTTTCCCGAGTACTGTTGTGACAGTTAAAATCTCCTAATATTATTTTTGGGTGTGGAATTTAATTTAAAACATTGCTTAGTTCAGTTATGTCTAAATCAGTATTTATCCCACAAAATCAATCATTTTTTGTGACTGACACTATTTCGAGATTTGTTTGCAGTTGTATTTCAGTTGAATGTATGTCATCCCTAGGAACATAATTTGTTATTGTCACATTTTGGTGCTTGAAATGGGTCTCTTCTAGGCATATGACTAAAGTAAGATTTTCGTGTATAAGAAGCTTAATGGATTATATATGTGTAAAATAACCGTTGGGGTTCCACTGTAATATGAATGTGCTGGATTAACTCTTTATGTGTTAACTATTTATTGTTGAGAACTTGATTCGTAGTCAGATTAATCAGTAGAAGGACTGTTGAGTACAGTTTCTTCTTCAATCTGGTGATATTGTTTTTTAAAGTTTTATTTTGTATTTGAGGATACCTAAAGTTTAAAATTTCTTTTATTTCTTGATTTTCATTTGAATAATTTTTAACAATACGTTGTTTTGAGTGAGTGAAGGGAATTTGCCAAAAAATCACATATTTCATGAAGAATTGGTGTAAAGGAAGGGTTTCTATTTTCGATTTTTTTTTAAATTTGATTTAGAATAATTGGAATATCTTCTTGGGTTTTAGGCTTTTTCTTAGGTTTTTAAGTATCGGGAGGAGGTAGGTCATTTTCAAGGATTTCGGGAGAGGAGATTTGTCTTTTAGTAGCAGGACTAATTTCAGTGGTTTTTCTATCGCTTTCAATTACTAAGGAATTATCTTGGAATATTTTTGGTTGATTCAAAATTTGTAATTCATTGTTTGTTTGTGAGAAAGTGGTTTGGTCCTTTGTAGCTAATGCGTGATTTTGTATGGTATTCGGTTCTGGTTCCATTAATGTTTTTGTATCTTCTTGGTATTGGTTTCGTGGTTGATCTTGTAGCTGATTATATTCTTTATTGGTAGAGTTATGTATATTCACGTGGTGGTCAGTTTCCATTTGATTATTTGATTTGCTTGATGATAATAAGGAAGGACAGTCAGAATCATGATGTCCGACAATCTTGCATTTTGAGCCGTTTAAACCATCTATGGAAATGTATAGTCGATATGATGTATTGTCGAATAAGATTAGATATGAGTCAGGAATTGATGCATTTTCTAAAGGACTTATGAACATTTGCCTCCTAAAGCTAAGCACGTGGCTGTATTCTGGGTCTTGCACGCCTACTCGTGGAAACGTCATGTTGGAGGCGGATTTTATACCCATAGTTTTTAAGTGCTTTTCAATTATGCTATTAGGTATAGTAGGGCATACATTAGATATAATGAGTCTCTGGGTAGGGGTTACAAGTCTTCTTACTTCAATCTGGTTACCATCAATATTTATATATTTGTGAGAGCTAAGAAATTGATCAACTACATATTTAGAGGAGAGAAAGATGCATATGCGGTTGTTTGCTATTTTGGATGCCCAAACAACATTTTTGGGCTATACTATTGATCCAACAGCTTTTAATTATTCGAAAACTTTTATTCCTTGTATGGTTGAAAGTATAATACCTTGGTCTTTTGAAGGATATTTAAAACTGTTTAATGCATTGGGGCAAGATATGTGACGTAGTGGGTATATTTCGTGAGGTAGTAGCTGATTCTGGTTCATCCATCTTCCCGCTGAGAATCTTCATACACTGGCACAGAGGATGTGAAGCCTGATCGGGCCGCTTGATAAAATTGAGCAGCAGCCTAGCCTAATTACTTTTTAGAAGCAAGAACCAGCAAAAAGTTGTTGTCGATAATCGATAAGTTGAATTGAAATCAATAAAATATTTTAAACTTCTGATTTTAAGGTTATTCATAATACAGTTTTGTACTCACAGAATTCTACGATTTTCAGTGCACTGTCACATTTAACTTAACAGTTGCAAATAGTGTAAAAATTAAATTAAATTTTTAATTTTAACTACTAGTAATTAACTAATTTGTCACAACCGATATTAAGCTGTATGATAAGCTAGATATCGGGGCCGGACTCATTTAAGAAAAACTGCTTTAATAAAATGTTGATATTAAGAAAGATACAGGGTGTTAAAGTAGAAAATTAAAATTTTAATTTCCGCTATAACTTTCATGTTTGTGAACATTTATTTATCAAAATTCATAACTGGATACTAGTGCACATTAGGACTTATAATTTGATGCATACTTTACTGTAGCTGATAGATGGCGTCACATATGCTACATATGTGGCATACATTTGCACTTTTTTGCCCTTTAAGTTACCGGTGTTTGTGATTAAAAATATTAAAGATACATTATTTTAACAAAAAAAAAGTAGGTATACTTGTTAATAACTTTTAAAACTCAACAGTTTTCGAGATAATCGCATTTTACAAATTAACTATATAATTCAGATTTATTTAACGCAATTATTCCAGGCAACGAAAGAAAATTAGACAAAAAATTAATACTGCTGAATTTTGGTATAAAATGCATTTAATAAAGTTAATAGTTAACAAAATATTTTAATAGTAGGATTTGACAAGATAACAGAATAATTGGATTTGACATCAAACATTTTACGTTTTTTATTAAATTAAAGTCATAATCAACATATTTCATTTATAAGCCAAATTAAGAAATAGTTAAACACTTTTTGTCAAAGTAAGTGTTCGATATGTCCACCATTTTTTTTTAATTCATCTGTCAATACATTCCATACAAGATTTTCTCATATTATATAACATCATTGGTTCTAAAGAAACTGCTGCAGTATTTCTAATAAGTATTATAAGTATAGAATATAATAAATTTAATATAATAAAAGTATTCGTTTGGGATTTGATATGATTATAAAATAATCATATCATATAATCATATCATTTATATGGATAAAAGTATTCGATATGAATTAAATAATTATATTAATATCTCACCACATAACCACGGAATATGACTACCACGAACAATCCAATGTTCAGGAAAGTTGTATTTAATTATGTTCTCACTGCTCTCTCTCTAGAATGTGGTGGTGTACGATCTTGCATAAACCACATATTTCACCTTAAGTTTGATAACAATTTTTCCAATAAATCAATAAATGTAAATAAATCTAACCATTCAAATTACAAGGTAATTCACATGTCCGTAAAAAATAATTACAAAATAAAATAAAATTCACAATATTAGTCTGTTGTCTGTTTAACAAAGTTTAAGAAAAAATAATAAATGAAGATACTGTATGAAGTGGGGAAATAAAATAGATATTACAAATACCTAAGTTTAAAATTATAAGGCTGCCATGTGGGATTAGAATTATATACTCTAAAAGCTAAAGCATAGGAATATATAGAAATTTACAAACTTTATACTGAAGAGGGAAAAAGCAAATGTACAGATCCATATAAGTCCTCACAGGCACGTCATCTAAGAATTAGCAACCCCAGTAGAGTCATACATTATCATGTAACCAATTTCGTTTATAACTTAAACATCAACATTAAAGATGTAATTTAAAGTTAATTGTACTACAGTTAAATGGTTCTTACCCATATATTTAGTAGCTTTAAACATATAAATCCAGTAAGTATTAAACCACATTTTTGTAGTGACCTTGGTCAGAATTTTAAATTCTTACGTTTGTGTTAATTAAAATGGTAATACTTATTTTAGGATAGCAGTGATTATGGAATACCAAAAACGTTCTGCAATGTAGCCAAATATTTTTTTCTTTTATAAAGGATTTTTTTAATATATTTTTTAATTAGTTAATGTTTTGTTTCAACCCTTTATATCTCTGCACTAATGCTACTCTAAAATTTTAATAAACCACTTTTAATAAACTTTCAATTTCTGTAAATTTTTTAATTCACCCGTATACATATATCTTGTCTACTTGCTAGCTAACCCTTTTCTTGGAATTGCTGCCGAAAATGAGTCTCAGTCTCACGCACTTACCTAAATTTTTATCTTATTTTGGATACTAAATTCTCCTAGTCTAAGCTTCTCCAGATGCAATGATAACACAGCCCAACTAAAAAAATTGTTGTCTTGCTGCCGAAAAAAATCAAGTGCTTTTGGTTAACTGATCTGTGCTGATTCCAAAAATACAAACATTTTCTTTGTATCAGCTCCAGTTTTTAAGATGATATAACATAGTCATCAAATACTTAAATATTCTTACATTTCTGTATATTCCATATGTTTATAAACCAACTTAACAATTTCTAATACAAATACATACTACTGACTTCTAATTAAATTGTACTTTTTGGAAATACCCATAACTTAAAATTAGCGCTAATTGCTTTTTAACTATTTACTATTACTTGCTTTTTAACTATTAACTATTAAATTTTGTAAATAGTATTTTCTCTGAATTGGCCTTAATAAATTCCTATAAAGTTAACTGTATTCTATTGTAAAATTTAGTTTGAACTTGAGTTTCGTTGCAAGAGTTTGTTTTTGATAACTGAAAGCCAGGGCTTCTACAAGCAGGTGTTGATGTGTAAATAACCCGGACATATTTTGCTACATATGTGGTGACTACATTGTAAAGAAAAGTAGAAAACCAGTTTGTGATTTTATAAAAAGGGCATATCAAGCCTATTTTGGTGTTCATTTAGGAGATCAAGATAAATCCTGGGCTGCACATGTAGTGTACAAAGCTTTTCTGGAAAACTTGCGACAGTGGGCGAAAGGACAACGAAAATGTTTAAAAGTTTGAAGTAATGATATGGAGGGACCGTGCAAGTTCGGAATAGCGACACCTGGTGTCGTAAATCAGCAAAATTTACTGCGCTTTTATGTTAGATCGGGGTAACCGGATAACTGTCAAGGACGTGGCCCCAAAAAAGAATAAGAAGAAAAAGTAAGATTGAGGTTATGTCGGTATGTTATTAAAAGGTAAACGTTGATGTAGCGTATATACAAATAAATATATTATTGAATTACAGCATTAATACAGCACCAAATAACTTTTCAACCAAGCACTGAGTCGAAGGGAAAAGCTTTAGTAGTGGCAAATGTCAAAAAATAATGGAAGAATTAAGAAAAATAAATTACCATAAATAATGCTAATGCATAAATTAGCAGGTTAAGCCCATGATAGCATCATATTGGTTTGAACAAATAATTCTTTCCCTGTAAACTTTTGGACAGCGAATATATCTTAATGCATCTTCAGAAAAACTTGAACTTGATGCATTCTTGTAAACTTCAAAAAAATAAAATTTACATTTTACAACATTAAACTTGATTTTTGGATTAAAATGAACTCTAAGTGAGTGTTATGAAACTAAAATTTACACTTAAAAGTGAACTTTTATTATTATTTATTTCAAACTGACTTTAAAATCGGGCGCAAGAATAATTCATAATTTAGGTTATGTTACTTATGCTTTTTTATGATATAAATCCACTGTTCTCTTTGTAGTAGATTTGTGCTTCGAAGTTGTAAACGAATAAAACTTAAATTGACAATTTTTTGTTGTATTTTTACAATTTATAACACAGCATTTCCTACAAATCCCATTTTCTTCAGAGACAGAAGGTGTAAATGTAAATAAACAAAACGAATATGAAATATGACAATTGACAATATGAATTTATGAAATCTATGAAATGTACAGTAAAAAATGCAAAATTTCTCCGCTACTCGCGCACGATCGTTTCTCGTATCCCCTCCAAGTACTTGCACGTCGCCGATAAAGGGCATTAATCGTAACAATCTACATACATGGACATATCCTAACCTGTATTCAGCAATAATACCAATTCCACATCAGCTTGAACAGATACTCATTCCAATATTTAGCTGTCTACCTACTTTACCAGAGGATAATATCGAAACGTTATCTGACGAACTATAGACCAATAGATTTAAGGAAGACGACAGTGATTTTAAAGAGGAGTCAACACGTCCTAAGCTCTTTACTCAGAAAGAGCTAAGTGATCTTATCAGATATTTAAACCTTTCAAAGGATCCTTTTGAGTTGCTTG